TCGGCTGCAGCACATCCACCATCAACATGCAAGTTTCCTTTGCAACTTTGGCTCAAGGCATGATTTTTGGGGCCTCAATTGCCCAAATTGTGACCTCAAAATTACTCAAAGTGGAAGATTAACTACCCTGGCGTACTTAGTTCGAGTCTTTTTGGGTGGCTAACGGTCTTTTAGGCAATCTTGATGGGTCTCTACCTGCTCCGCCTTTGTATACCTATGATTTATATCAGACTCAATCTGTTAATCCTGAATATTATCATTAGTTGAAATTGGACCAAACTGTTCATGCTTGGCTGTTTGCTACCTTATCTCGAGAAATTCTAATGGAGGTTCATACCTTGAAAAATTCTTCTGCAATCTGGCAACGTTTGGAGTCTCGATTTATGGCTGCCAGTCTAGCACGCTCCATGGAGTTAAAACAAATGTTATCTCACAAGAAGAAGGAGAATCAGTCCATCGAGGAATATGTTCGCGGCATTCAGACTATTGCTGATATTTTAGCCTCCATCAATTCCCCGGTTTCCAATGCTGATCTTATTCAATATACACTTTTGGGATTGGGACCGGGATGTGAGTCACTCGTGGGGCCCCTTACCTTGTTTCCTGAAGGATTAACTTTTGACAAATTAGGCACGAAATTGTTCATCAAGAAGCCCGCTTACGCTATCAACAGTCCTTGGAACCTTCATGAACAATCCCGGCGTTTGCTGCACCCGCTCACGGAGACCATTCGAACCAGTAGCCTGGCCGTGCGATGTCCGAGAATCAGCAGCAATAGCCCTACAGGAGCGGGTGTGGCGGACGGCGTGGTAACCGCGGCTGGGGGCGTGGCCGCTACCAACCGCAGCAGTAGTACGGACAACCCCAGCCGTATTTTGGTCCCGGACAGCAGCACTATCAGCCGGCGGCACAAGCTAGAGGAGCCCATCATCAACAAAAATGGGGATCCGGTACTGTATTTTCTAATTCAGTTAAGTCATCGTTTTATACTCCTGCGCTCTCTACTTTTTGTACTAATTATGCCTCTGCAAGATCTCCATCTTTTGAGAATAATTTTGGTTCAGTCCCTCCACCTGTCGTTTTGTCAAACGTGTCACTCTCCAGGTCATTCAGATGTAGCGTGTCCGTCTCGTTTTGTTCAAGCTCAGGCTCCTGCCTTAGCTGTTTCTACTGGCGAAGCCACTCCAGCTGTGTGATATCCTGATTCCGGTGCTTCCGCTCACATGACTCCAAATGAAGGTATTTTGCACAATAAATCTATTTATTCTGGACCACTAAAAATTACAGTTGCTAATGGATCTAATCCTCCTGTTATTACTACTGGTAATTTGCATTTAGCTACTAAGCCGAGACCTCTCCATTTAAAATCGGTTTTCCATGTGCCTAATTTTAAATATAATCTTCTCTTCATCCAACGATTGTGTGCCGATGATAAGTGTTTTGTAATTTTTGATAAAAATTATGTCTGTGTTAAGGACACAATTTCGGGGAAGGTGTTCCTCCAAGCTTTCAGTAATGGTGGCGTTTATCCTATCTCTATCACCCATCCATCCCCAGTTGCTCTCAGTTCTGAAGCTACTCCCGGACCAATTTGGCATTGTCGTTTGTGCCATTGTGGAAGTCTTATTCTAGATAGATTAAAAAAATCTGGTAGTGTTCTTAGTACTTCTAATTTTTCTCACGATTGTATTTCTTGTCGGTTAGGAAAATCACAACGGTTACCTTTTCAAGAAGTGTGGCTTAAATCTACTGTTCCTTTGTTTTTAATTCATTCTGATGTTTGACAATCTCCTGTTCTTTCTTCAAGTGGCTTTAAATATTATGTTTTATTTATTGATGATTTTTCCCGTTTTACTTGGCTTTATCTCATGCGAAATAAAAGTGAAGTAGTGAGACATTTTCAACATTTTAAAGCCATGGTGGAAAATTTACTTGATGCTAGAATTTAATTAAAATTTTCAAAGTGATGGAGGGGGTGAATTTGACAATCATGCTATGCGCGATATTTTTACCAAAAATGGTATTTTATTTCGCAAATCATGCCCCCATACTCCTGAACAAAATGACGTAGCTGGGCGCAAACACAGGCATTTACTTGAATTACTCTTTGATGCAAAATTGCCAGCTAATTTTTGGGTAGATGCCGTGTTTACTGCAACATTTATTATTAATCGGCTCCCTACTCCAAATTTTAATGGCTAAAGCAATATGTGAATAGGTAAAGAATGGCCTGTCTATTCATGTGTTGATTCTGAAATATATACACCGTTGGTTTCCTAAGATGGCTCCTAAGAATAAGCTGAGCCTTAATTAAGATACACATGCCAAATATAAGCTAGGCTACGAAGGGAAATAAAATCAAGATATATAAAGTATATAAATATATCCTAATACCCCCCCTCAAGTTGGAGCATGTAGATCACAAATGCCCAACTTGACAAGTAGGAACCGAAATTGCCGAGGTCCAAGTGCTTTCGTAAGAATGTCAGCGAGCTGCATGGAGGTAGGTAGATGCTTGGGAGTAATTGTATGATTAACAATCTCATTGCGAACAAAATGACAGTCAACTTCAATGTGTTTCGTACGCTCATGAAACACAGGATTATTTGCAATATGGAGTGCTGCCTGACTATCACAATGTAGGGAAACAGGAGATAAATGTGAAACCCCCAAGCTTTTTAATAAGCTTTTTAACCAGATAATTTCACAAGTAGCCGATGCCATTGCCCGATATTCGGCCTCAGCCGAAGAGCGAGAAACTGTAGCTTGTTTCTTAGTTTTCCATGAGATGGGAGAACCACCAAGAAACACAAAATAGGCAGTAAGGGAACGTCTACTCAAAGGGCAACTAGCCCAATCAGCATCACAATAGGCTTGTAAAGAAAGATCAGAAGTCGCCTTCAACATAATACCTTGACCAGGGCTAGTTTTTAGATAGCGTACAACTCGGAGCGCCGCTTCCCACTGAGACCGAGTAGGTTTCTGCATGAACTGAGATAGAATGTGAACAGAATAACACAGCTCAGGTCGCGTAATAGTTAAATAAATCAATCGACCAACCAAGCGTCGATACTTTACAGGATCAGCCAAGAGATCATCAGAAGCGAGAGCTAAGGAATGACTTTCCTCCATCGGTGTGCTAGCAGGTTTGGCAGCAAGAAGACCGGTCTCACTCAAAATATCTAGAGCATATTTACGTTGACAGAGAAAAATACCATCTGAGTTACGAGCAACCTCAAGACCGAGGAAATATTTAAGTTTCCCTAGGTCCTTCATGCGAAAACACGTATGCATATAAGTCTTGAATTGAGTGATGGAGTCACTATCGTTTCCAGCAATGACGAGATCGTCAACGTAAACAAGAATGCTTAAAGAAACAGAGCCTTTTTGATAAACAAACAAAGAATGATCAGAAGGACTATTCTGAAAACCATAGGACCGTAAGGCTGAAGCAAGTTTAGCATACCAGCACCGAGGAGCCTGACGAAGTCCATATAATGATTTTCGTAGTCGACAGACTTTACCCGAAGAATGATCACCGAATCCAGGAGGAAGCTTCATGTATACTTCTTCAGCGAGATCACCATGAAGAAAGGCATTATGTACATCCATTTGATGTAGCTCCCAATTTTTAACAACAGCAACTGTAAGAAAGGTACGCACTGTCACCATCTTAACAGTGGGAGCAAAGGTCTCAACAAAATCAATTCCTGGCACTTGATGATTTCCAAAAACGACCAGTCTAGCCTTATATCGTTCAATGGTCCCATCGGACTTATATTTGATGCGAAAAACCCACATACAACCAATGGCTGTTTTACCAGGAGGCAAATCCTCAATAGTCCAGGTTCGATTATCCTCGAGGGCACGAACCTCATCATGCATGGCCTGTCGCCAGCGCGAGTCCCGCATGGCCTCTTTGAAAGAGGAAGGTTCGACGTTGGCGGTAACTGCTGCAAGAAACTTACGGTGGGCATTAGAAAAAATATTACAATTCACGTATTGTGTAATAGGATACCGCGTACCTGAGGACAAGAGCGGTGTGGGTGTAGCAGCGATGGGGGCAGCTTGGGTAGTGTACGTGACAAAGTCCTGAAGACGAGTATTTGGAACTTTCTGCCTATGTCCCCGTCCCAGAACCTCAGTGTTCAGTTCGGTAGCCACCTCAGACGCATTATCACCTTGAGAACCAAGAGTGTCAGATTCCTCAGATGCACCTACGGCCCCACTATCTGGTTGGTGCGAAGATTCCTGATTGTCATGCGGTTCCAGTAAGGTATGTGATGCTTGAGACAAAGTTGTGTTATTATTTTCATGAGCACCATCATCATAGTAGATAGAGGGAGCCCCATTCAAGCATTGCCGCAGATCTGAGTCAGGCACAATAGTATTTGCAAATGGAAATATGGTCTCATAGAAGACCACATCTCTAGAAGAAAAATATTTGCCAGTATCTAAATCAAATAAATTCCAGCCTTTCTTTCCAAACGGATAGCCGATAAATATACATTTGTGGCTTCGACTACTGAACTTATCCGTAGGATTCAATTCCTTAGCATAACACAGGCATCCAAGAATACGAATAGAACTGAGATCCGGAGGACGTCCAAATAATAATTCAAAAGGAGTCTTGCCTTGTAAAATCTGAGACGGAGTTCGGTTTATTAGATAAGTAGCACTCAAAATGCACTCACCCCAAAAATCAATAGGAAGATTAGCCTGAAAACGTAGAGCACGAGCCACATTAAGAATGTGACGGTGCTTACGCTCCACACGTGCATTTTGCTGAGGAGTTTTCACCATAGAAGTTTGATGAATAATGCCTTGTTCAGAAAAATATTTCCGCAAGGCAATAAACTCAGTCCCGTTATCACTTCTCACAATTTTAACAAATTGGCTAAATTGCCGTTTGATTAAGGCAAAAAAATTTATTAATAAGGATGACACTTCACTCTTATGCTTCATCAAATAAACCCAGACACTTCTTGAATGATCATCAACGATAGTAAGAAAATATCTCGAATCACAAGAACGGTTGGCACTATATGGTCCCCAAACATCACAATGTATCAATTCAAACAAATGAGATGCTCTATGACTACTTGACGGAAAAACAGAACGAGTTTGCTTAGCACGATGACAAACATCACACGGCTTATTAATTAAACTACTATAGCGACCACTAACTTGAGGCAAAAAATCCAAAACTTGTAATGACGGGTGTCCCAAGCGTGCATGCCAAAGTTCGCCAATATCCAAATGTGTAGCATTGTGAATGAGTACTCTCTCCCCCATCGCCAAATAGAAGAGCCCGCCATACTGTTCACCCACACCAATCCTGGTCCTCGAGACTTGGTCCTGTATAACACAATTAGTATGAGTGAATTGAATACTTAATCTATTATCTTTGAGCAAAGTAGATACAGATAAAAGATTGCAGGTGAATTCCGGCACAAACAGAACATTATTTATCGTAAGTTTCTCATTTATCTTAATGCTACCAATTTTAGTAGCCTTGATAAAAGACCCGTCGGGCAGTCCAATTTCCGTGGGCATCATATCGACAAGAACATCAAATAATTTAGAGTTCCCACACACGTGATGTGAAGCACCCGTGTCAACGATCCATAAGTTTTCTGTCTTACCATTGAGGCGGATATCACCAAGTTCTTTGACCACCTCTCCGGTATGAGCAACGTTGGCCTTGGGTTGCTGATTCGTAGAAGAGCTCTGGAATCCTCCTGAACCGCCATTGTTTCCAGGCTGTCCACGTCCCTTGTTCATTCCACGTCTACGTTCCAGCCAGCCTTCGGGGTACCCGTGTTTGACAAAACACTTCTCCTCAGTATGTCCTGTTTTAGAACAAAAGGTGCAAACAATAGAGTTATTAGAGACCCGAGCAGCCCCCCCTGAATTCCGGCCGGTAAAAGTATTTCCCCGGACGGCGAAGCTCATGGGATTTGTTCCTTCCTCCTGACTGCCAGTGATCATCCGCACTTCTTCCTCTTGAATTAGCCTGGAATATACTATATTTAGCGATGGCAGGGGCTCAATTCCCAACAGGCTTGACCGGGTGTTTGCATAGAATGATTCAAGCCCCATTAAAAATTCCCGAACTTGGTCATCATCACGTCGCTTGCGAAGTTTTGTCGTTAGGTTACATTTGCAGCCTGAGCAATCGCATGACGGAAGAGGATCAAAATCATCCAGATCGTCCCACAGTTTCTTGAGGCGCCCGTAATAACTCATAATTTTCTCACCGCTTCTCTGTTTGCAATCGGAGAGTTCAGACTTTACTTGATAAATCTTTACTCCGTTACCAACCGAAAATCTTTCCTTGATATCTCTCCATAAATCAAAGGCAACGTCGCGATAAGAGATGGAAGCCCGCAGTGAAGGTTCGATGGTGTTGAACATCCAGGCCACTATCATGGAGTTGTTCGTCCACCAATCATCAATTTCGGAAGAGCTGTCAGCCGGTTGCTTGAGACTGCCATCTATGAATACGTGTTTTCGCTTGGCACGAAGAGAGACTCGAAATCCCCTCGCCCATTCTTCATAATTGTAGCCTTTGAGAACAACATGAGTGATAACCGTCCCTGGATTATCACTGGGACTGAGAGCATAAATCAGACTCTGGGAAGGAGTTGTTCCACCAGTCATGATTAGCGCCGATAGGAAGGGGCGAAGAACCGCCGCTCTGATACCATAAAGCAATATGTGAATAGGTAAAGAATGGCCTGTCTATTCATGTGTTGATTCTGAAATATATACACCGTTGGTTTCCTAAGATGGCTCCTAAGAATAAGCTGAGCCTTAATTAAGATACACATGCCAAATATAAGCTAGGCTACGAAGGGAAATAAAATCAAGATATATAAAGTATATAAATATATCCTAATAATGGCATATCTCCTTTTGAAAAATTATTCCACCAGTCTCCCGACTTCTCTTTTATGTGTGTGTTTGGTTGTGCCTGTTTTCCAAATTTTAATGCTACTTCTGCCAATAAACTATCTCCTAGATCCACCTTATGTGTCTTTGTAGGATATGTCCCCGAATACAAAGGTTATCGTTACTTTAAAACTATTACTGACAAGATTTACAGAAATCGGAATGTGCGCTTCTTTGAAAATTATTTTCCTTATTCCGATTTGGTTTCTGCACGTAAAAAGGACACTTCCACGATGCCCATCGACAGCCCGGTAAGTATGCATGAACTTCATAACTTCCGGCCATTTCTATTGCCTTCTACAGCGCCCAGCAACCCGCGGCAGCACCCCATCCACTCCCCAGCTTCTCCGGTCACTCCAACCCACCACTCCACCGCTGCGGCCGGTAGCAGCACCCCAACCCCCCAATCAACTGTTTCGGATGGCAGCAACACCTCAGACCGCAACCAGCAGCAGACTGCCACCTCTGACGAACCCACAGCCTCACCACAGCCGCCCCTCTCTGACCAAATCATGAGCGACAACAGCCCGAGCCCGAGCCCGATCCCTTCTCCACCTGCACCTTCTCCTAAAAATTGCCATCCTATGCTAACTCGTGCCAAGGTAGGAATTTTAAAACCCAAAAACATTTTTACTCTCAAAACAGAGATTTCGGCATGTGATCCTTCATGTTTTTCTATGGCAAACAAAGATGCTAGGTGGAGAGCTGCTATGGCTGAGGCGTTTAATGCACTTATTGATAATCATACTTGGGATTTAGTTCCATTTAATGCTAGTAAAAATGTGGTTGGGTCTAAATGGATTTATAAAACAAAATTTAATGCTGATGGGTCAGTTCAGCACTATAAGGCAAGTCTGGTTGCACAAGGTTTTACTCAGCAAGCTGGTGTGGATTTTCCTAAGACTATTAGTCCTGTTGTTAAACCTACTACTATTCATATTGTTTTATCTATTGCTGTCTCGTATAAGTGGTCAATTCGCCAGTTGGATGTCAAAAATGCTTTTCTTCATGGCAATCTAACGGAAGAAGTTTATATGCGTCAGCCTCCTGGGTTTGTTCATTCTCAATTTCCTAATCATGTTAGCAGACTCAGGAAGACTATCTATGGTCTTAAACAAGCTCCCGGAGCTTGGTTTTATTCGTTTAGCAGTTTTCTATTAACTCATGGTTTTGTCTGTAGTAAGTCTGATAATTCTCTATTTATTTACCGCCATGGGCCTCATATTCTGTATCTTCTGTTGCATGTGGATGACATTATTATCACTGGTAATTCCCCTTCCTTTATCTCCACTTTTATTTCGTGTCTTGGCCGTTGTTTTGCCATGAAGGATTTAGGGGAATTTACATTTTTTCCTAGGTGTCCAGGTTGTTCGAACAAACTCAGGTCTGTTTCTTTCTAAACAAAAATATGTGTTTGGTCTGTTAACTAGGTTTCACCTCCACACTCTTAAACCTGTTCGTACTCCACTTCCTACTCGAACTAAGTTGTCTCTCACTGATGGGGACCCTCTTGCAGATCCTACTGAGTACAGAAGTATGGTAGGTGCTCTGCACTATTTGTCTATGACTCGACCTGATATTACATTTGTTGTTCACCTGGTCTCCCAATTTATGCATGCACTTCGTACTACTCATTTATTGGCTGTTAAGCGTATTTTCAGGTATCTACAGGGGTCTGCAGCTCACGACTTGCTTCTTCAGTCCAGCATTTATTCTCCTACTTTGCAGACTTATTCTGATGCTGATTGGGTTGGTTATCCTGACAGTAGCCGGTCTACTTCTAGGTTTGCTGTTTTCTTGGGTCCGAATTTGATCTCATGGAAGTCCACGAAGCAACCTACTGTCTCCCGGACCAGCCAAAAAAAAAACTACTGTCTCCCGATCTTCTACAGAGGCTGAATATAGAACTATTGCTTACACAGTTCAGGACACACTGCATATTCGATCCATCTTGTTCGAGCTAGGCATCACCATTCGAGAACCAGTCCAGTTATTGTGTGACAATGTTTCTGTTTCATACTTGTCCACTAATCCTATTCCGCATGCCAGGAGCAAGCACATCAGCATTGACTATCACTTTGTTCGAGAGAGAGTTTCGCATGGAGATCTGGTTGTTCGCTATGTTCCTACTCAGTTCCAGTTGGCAGATATTCTCACTAAATGCCTGTCACCACAGCGTTTTATTTTTCTTAGAGACAATCTGCGCATTGTTTCTCCTGCACAGCTTGAGGGGGTGTAATAGAGTAATTAATTCCATTAATTAGCTTTCCATCTTTATTAAGTTTCCTAATGTATTCAGGACATATTTTCTTATATATATGACACCTAGGGCTACCACATTGGTAAGCCTTCTCATTATTCTCACAACAATAAATTGTTCGTAATAAAACAGGTGATGAAGTTATATTTCGACACGCATTTGATGCATGTTGGGATCGTCTTTTGAGGGTTTTCCTAACTTTAAGGTGTCAGAAGTCTCAATTTTAGCTCAAGTTATGTTTATCGGGCGTTGGTTCGAATTTTGTATTGTTTTGGAGTCAAAATCAGGGAATTTGAGCCTGACACCGGCATTTGAGAAGAAACCGGGAAGAGTTGAGATGCATTCGAGAGAGGATTCAGAGCTTTGGAGGTCAACGGGGGGTTCACAATGAAGATTTGATAGCAAAAGAGCTCTAGGATTGGCTATGAGATCAAAAGAAGATGAATAGAGCTTGAAAACGACGATCAGGATGACCTTTTGTTAATCGTTCAAGCATATCTTTTTGTAGAAACATCTAAAGGACACGATTCAAGTTTCATATGAAAGCCAACTTCAAGAGCTACAAATCATGTAAAGACAATATTGTGTGAATCTGAGAGGAGTAAGGTGAAAACACACAATGAAGTCAGATGATCGTTGTTGCGATTTCAGAATGCGACCTTCTACCATTCTATTCATATCTTTTGATTGGATGATTTAAATCCACTTTCGCAAGTTGTGGTGGATATAGGACTTCATTATCTACAACTTTAATGAAGGAAGCATTGTCAAATTTGGATGAGAAAAGGTCAGGCACGGTCGTGCATTGGAGTTACGCACGCCGTGCCTGTAGAAGAAACAAGTGCTTAGCTACTGGAGGCCAGGCACGATCGTGCGTGGAGGGAGACACGACCGCCCGAAACGCGCGACTTTACTCCGGAGGCACTGTCTCAAGCACAGTCGTGCCTGGCACCGTGCCTGCCTCCGGAAATCCCAATTCAGCTCAAATTTCACCCTAAAAAGACACTTTTGAAGCCCTCGAAAACCTTCACAACTAGAATGCTTTCAATAACCCGAAATCCTCCTTTTCGAGCCCCCAAGGGACTACCCTCGAAAACCCACCCCCTTTTCAAATCAGCCGAAGGACATTGAATTCTACGATCCTAGAAAACGCTTATGTTACCAAAGTCCTTGTAACCTAAAGAAAGTTAACTGCCGTCAACTTTATGATATAGGTACACGGGTTTAGGGTTAACTAAATTAATGATCTTCACTAGTGCATCAGAAATCAATGCCCTTGAACATGATCAAAGAGAAATGGAAGTGAAAGGTGAAGTTTCTTTTAACTACACAGAATTGAACGATAGTTACAAGACAAGAGAAATTTCTCTGTCCGATGACTATCAATCATTTTTTCCTTATGAGAATACAACTATGTCTACAATGGAAGAGCCATCTAGTTCTGAAAAATCATCACCTTACATTCCGGAGATCATTAAGAAAATTGCTGATCTTCACACATCTCTGGAAACTCAAACAAATGTTTTCAAAATAGAAAAGGAGAAGTTTGTAAATGAAATTTCTTCTCTCAAAAACACCCTCACAATAGACAGAACTTCTACCTCCTCACCCGATTCTAAAGGAAAACTTTCAAAACCTCCTCATCATCTCTTAAAACGGCTCATCATCTTTCTCTCATTTTGAAAAAACGAAAAATAATGTTCTTAATAAACACCAAAAGAAGAGGATGGCCTGGATTTTTAAACAAAATCAAAAAGAAGCTGCAAGATTTAAAATGTTCTATGAAAAATCAAAATCTCTTTTCTCTAAGTCTGGTAGTACTTTGAAATATACTAGTTCAAGTTCTGTCAGTCAGACACCCAGTTCTAACATAGACCATTCTTCTAAGTCTTCTTCAGAGGACTCTACATATGTGAAATCATGTTCTTGTGCTACTGTTAGTGAAACCGGACAGTCTAATACTTCAAATCATCATTGTGATGTGAATGATGGGAAATCTGAACTAAAGATATATAAACCTTCTAGGCGTCTAGCTATGATGTTTACTTGGAATATCCCCTCAAGGTTTATTCAGACAAACATTTGAAGCATCTATTAAGGAAGAAATTTTTACTTCTCAAAATCTGTCCCATCATTCACCTGCATTGGAATCATTATTGTTCATAAATGGGTTCCTAGATAAGAATCACAATCATATAGCTCTCCAAAAGTTTCACAAGAGGCTGGTTTAGGAACAAAAATAAAACAACAGTTTCAAAATTTGTTTTGTGCTTAAAGAATGGACTCACGCTGAAATGGGTACGAAAGGTTTATTAATCTTTTGCAGGCCCGTCATGTGTGGTACCTGATCCGATTGCTCCACACACATGGCGGGTATGAAGACAAGTTGTGAGTTATCAACTAGTGCACACTATGAAGGGGGTATTGATGTGTATACTTCCCACTGAGTAGAAAGTTATTGAAAGCACATTCTCAGGGGGAACATTTCTATTATCTCCTCAATGTCAAAAC